GGGTAGGCCGGGAACGGCCCACCATCGGGGTCCTCGAGAAGTAGTAGTAGTACTGGAAGCGACAACGAGAAAAATTATGCACTGGAAGCGACAACCTGCCAATTTTGTGAACACAGAACAGTCAGGTTGAAGAGCAAAAGCAACAAGGAAAGACCCCAGAAAGGAATCAACCTAGAGGACGAAGACGGCGACAACGAGACTGCTGCGAGCGCCGCTCCTTCTCCTGCTTCTTTGCCGCCTCGAAGTGCTTCTGGTGGGCATCCACAATCTTCTGCAGAGGGACGCCCATGTCCTTTGCCAAGTCCTCTCCTGAGGCGTAGAACTTCATGACACCACGGCCAGTGTAGTGCTTGGCGTGCCAGATGATCTCATCGGCTGCCGCCTTGTTCAAACACAGGCGGAAGGGCGGCTTGTTCTTCCACATCTCTCCGGTGACATAGTCGCGTCGGCCCAACTCGTTGCAGAAGCGGTCGCCGTTGGCATCCAGGACGATGCCACCAACACCTCGGAGGGCCTCCGCGGCCAAGAACTTCACCTTGGCATCGGGATCGTCCGGCTTCACCAGACCGGTGGGGTGCACCTGGACCCACTCGAGGTCAATGGTGGCTGCACCGATGGCCTCTCCCATCTTGATGGCATCACCAGTGCAGTGTTCGCCGTTGGTGGTGGGGAGGTGGAGCAAGTCTGGCCGGTACGTGGCCAAGAGGGAATCGGCGCCGAAGTCGGCGCCGAAACCGCCGGAGGCGAGGACCATCGGGCCGAATTCCTTGACGGTCTTGCCGGCCTTCTTGTACTCGCAGCCAACCACGGTGCCGGCATTGACGAGCAGCTTGTACACCTCCGCCTTCGTCACGATGCGAGCTCGGTTGGTTTTCTCAGCAACCTTCTCCAGCATCTGGATCAACGCATAGGTGATGGTCATTCCTGGGAAGCGCTCCTTGCCGCGGTGCGTGCGGGGCTGGGAGTGCCCTCCCAGGCGCGCGACGAGGGAGAGATCGAGGTCGAACTT